GTATTCATCATTAATAAATCCAGATATTTCATTTGCAATTTCTTGCTTTTCATGCTGTAGGAAACACTCAGACACAATCTCACACGACATTAAAGTCACTGCCCCATGTCTCTCAACATCATTAAAATAAGGAATCATCTCTGTTTAAAAGTGCAAAGAAAAATTTCCCAGCTGTGTTATTTTCTCCTCTGGAGAAAGGATTTTGAGATCTTTTTTAAAAAAGACAAAATGAAAACCAACATTGGACTGAAAGGACAAGAATTTCCTTTACCTTTTAAAAAACCAAATGCACAAATACTGATTCTCCCATTACTTTGCTTCACTTCTTTGCAGCTAAAAGATCTCTTTAGCAAAACCAGTAACTCAAGGGTTCAGCCAGTCTATAAAGCTCAGATGAGGTGAAAAAATGAGTTTTGAAACTTTGCAAACAAGTTGCTCTGAGCCAATTTTCCCACAGCTGAATCTTTGCCTTGTTTGTTCTCGTTTCCCACAGGTAGTTCTGGCATTGGCAATTTGAAAAACCTTGCTGATATTCAGCATGTTGTTTTATTTCCTCTCCTATAATTGAGTTGTGCTGGTCTGACATTTTGATTCAGCACTGTAAAAGAAGCAGATCCAATTTACTGAAATTTCTGTGGTTGATTCAAAAATACTGATTCAATTTCTCAGTACATTCATTAAGGGAAACATACTTAACCTCACATTTGTTTGCAGAAACAAGAAGCCATTCATCAGGAACAAGAGGAACATCTCACTCTCCCCAGAATAAGTCACAGCTTTGGGCAGGGATGGATCTGACCTGAGGCTTGGTTTCCACAAGGCTTTTCTGGTTTGGAGTACATTCCTATGAAGCCATTGCAGAGCCACTTCAGTACATTGTCAACCCTGCATCAACACCTAAAGGGTTTCCACCTGCTCCAAGCTGTGTGAGAGAAGAGGGAGAACAGAGGCAGCAATAATGGCAAAGGACCAGGTCAATGCAAGGTTTATTTGTGAAATCCAGATGATCATAGTAAACATGAGAATTGACAACACAAATTGTTCATAAGCCAGCTGCTCACTTTCCTTTATTTCTGGAGACAAAGCCTGGCTCTTCCTTCTGCCCACCCTTTTGGAACAGATCCAGATTTTGCCTGGACAAGGGCTCAGGAGGTACAAGATGCTGCCCCATCAAGTCCATGCCCCTCTCCAGAAGTTCATCCACAGCCAGCCAAAGCCTGAACAACCCATTTTCCCCTCAAAACTTTTAGGTCACACTGTGTGACCCAGCTGGCAAAAAGTTCAGCACTGCTGATGGAGGAAAGAAAACAATCATGGTCCTTAATACCCTTTTGCCACCAGCTTCTTTCCAAACTGGGGGAAAGGGAAGCTGTGCTTTCATAATTTACACTTCATCTTTAGTATCCTGAAACATCAGATGTAAAAAAGGTGCTTATGTGCATCTCTTTGAACTTACACTGTTCCCACTAATCAGTTTCACCACTCTGTTTTGCTGCTGCCATCAAAATGTACTCTCAGTATATAAAGCTCTTCAACAGTTTTTCTAAAGGATGTGGGTTGGAAAATGCATAGCAGTAATGGATGGGACTAAAAAGATGTTTTCAAGTAGCTGGTTTATAATACGTGTGAAATCTAAATTTCAGTATATTGGTCACAGACTTAGGGATTCCAGAAATGCCTGGGTAGGTTCTTCCCATACAAAGGTATCTTGTACACACTCTACACACATATCTGAATAACTTATCTCTACCTGTGCACCACACTCAGGAACTACAGGAATGACAGGAAAGGGATGCTAAGTGCAGTAATCCTGCTGAGCACTAGAAACCAGCACCTGTTCCAAAGACCCAGAAATAAATGGTGTTGGGAACTTGGAGACATCCTGATGGTGGTTCTTTAGATGAGGTTTTCAACTTTTCAATTTCTCTCTGCAGCAGAAATCTCTTTTTTTGAACCAAACATCCTTCACCTGGCTCAGATTCTTTAAAAGCCAGTCCACTGTAGAATCCTCTCATCCTCTGCTTTTAATAAGAGTATTAGTGGATCTCTACCCCACTATTCAGTATCTATTAAATTATGTACTTTTTCTGAAATTCCTGAAGTTCCAAACAAATGACTATGAAAATAACAAGATCACTTCAAAATCTATTGGACAAATTTTTAAATTCCTTACTTCATCTTAAAAGACAGGATTCCTGTGAGCTTCAGGCTAACAGAAGAGAACTTCAAAGCTTCTCCTTTTTATTCCTAAGAAGTAGCTGAATCTTTATACTTTTCCTGTCTCAATTTTTCCAAAACTTGAAGGATGTAACAGTTGTGAGGATCTCTAGCATTTGTCATGTAGGAAAAGAATTAAAACAGGCATTATTTTCATTCAGTGAAACTGTGACTTTTCTTTGGTCTTTCTTCCCTAATTTAAAAATTGCAAAGGATAAAGCCTTCAGAAATTATTTGAAAGTGAATGATTAATTAAAAGTGAATTATTATGAAAATCATTACATACTTGACTGATTGTGTGGTGGTATTGATTAGGTATTTTCTACTAAGACCCAAAGTCAGATTAAGTCACACAAGTGAACAGGCAGTTATCCATATTGCAGTATCAGAGAATGGCAGGGATGACAGAAGTTGCTCACTTTGCAGTGAGCTGCCCCTTCTGCCAGGGTGACTCCAAAGGAAGAAGCAGCAAGGCCCAGAACTGCCAGTGGGGATCAGCCAGCCTGGTTGGGACCAGGAAATCCATCAGGGGCTGCTGCTCATCCTGCTTTGTTGGTATCTGTGTGTGCACAGACACAAACACACTCTCTACATCCCACAGCCTGAGAGGCCTGTTTCACCCAACTTTTATTTTGGCCCTATGATTAGAAAAACTCCTCAACTTTAAAAAACAATAAAAAATGCTCACAGCAACTCCTGTGAGATTTAATGGCTTCTGTATGGCTGATGGCACAACAGCCCTGAATTTGCTTTATGTAGTAATTTAAGCAATTTAAGCTTAAAATGTTCCCAGGGCAAAAATTAGGGCTATGTCTAACAAGTACATTAAGGCTTATTATGCCTATTAAGCACAGGGAGTTGCCCTTGTTGTGACTGCACATTACATTTGAAAGCTGTTCTGGGCAGTGTGCTGATTCCCTAATCAAACCTGTGTGGGAGGTACTTTTTGGTGACATTTAGAAACCCTCAATTACAAAACAACTAGCTAAAAGGGCAAAGGAATGGGTTTTCCTAAGCACAGTGACAGAAAACAAAAACAGACATTGGGTATAACCAAAGAACTGGAACCATTCTTTTTGCATTCTGTTTTTTTACTTTTAATTCTGTTACTTTGGTGCCTTAAGAGACTCAAAATGAATAAATAGTCCAGTATCTGAGGGGAAAATAACCTTGTTACTTGAGGAATCAAAGATTTTGAAATTGCCCAAGAGACAAAAAATCAAAGATATTTTGATCTTGCAACATTCAAAATATCTATCTTGTTACTTTTAAGTATCTTTAGAATTTAAAAATTAAAGAAGTGCTGACTCAAATTTGTATGAAGTTAAAATAACCTAAATTTTTTTTTCATCTTCCATAAATCTTTTATTGGTGGTTCAAAATGAAGCATATGCTTCCAGAACGTTTATCTCATGGCTGGCATCCTCCAAGGAAACCAGATGGCAAAACTCATAAATCCTTTCCCTTCTGCTCTTTGAGAGTCCCAATCTAGAAAGTTATGAGGCTGGAAGATCAGGTTTCTGTCCTGTTGTTATAAAAACATTTTCTTTATGCATCTAATGTGGTTTCAATTTTCTCCCAGTCCATAGTGGCAAAGAGCAGTTTAATGAGGTTTTACATACAGACAGCTATTGGAAGAACACACACCACATTCTCTGCTTCAATGGGAGGCACTGCTGTATTATTTCACACAAGAGCAGATGAGATCAGAAGCACTTTGGGGTTTTGATGCACAGTACCAGACAGCTACAGAGTTTAAATTTCAAGCACTATCACACAAAAAGATGTCACTCCCAAACAGTAGACAAGGAATTTATCTTAACAAGTTGAAGTATAACAACAGACAAAATTGACATGGTAGGTAAATATTTTAGGCCTGATCTGCAAATGGAAGTTATAATGTCTACTGCCTTCATATCAACAGCATGGTTAAACAGTTTTGAAATTCTTTTGATCACTCACCTTAAAAAACCCTCACAAGATGAAAAGAAATCATTATCACTAATGTTCATGATTTCAAGACTGAAAGCTTGAAAGAACTGACAACTCAAATATGACAGTTAAGACTGTGTTGGTTGTTCCTAAGACTTCTGGAGAAATAAAATATGCAATTAGAGCTCTTTGATTACCTGAAGGAAGTTCAACACTTCACAAATTACTGCTCCAAACTGAAAAACTACCGGAAAATTTTAGTTTGCTTCCCAAGAAATATTCCAACATGTTTAGATGAAGAATCTGCAAAACAATTGTGGATGTTTATTTCAATTCATTTCAGTGTATACCAATGCCAGCGAAAAGAGCTTAAATCTTTGCTCCCCTACAAAAATTTATTCTTTATTAACTTCACCTTTTGTTAGAAAATTCTTCAAAATAATTTCACGATTCACAAGAATCTTCTGAGGAAACAAAAATGAGGGGAAATGATTAATTAAGAAAAATACAACACAAATGTCAGATTTTATTGAGGTACTACATTCACATTGGTTTGTGCACTGAACAGTCACATTTGGCTAAAGACAACCATGTTCATTGGCATGAAGACACCACACTGAGATGGCACATGGGGAAAGCTTAAAATAAAGCTTGGTGAAAATGGTGTGCCAAATTCTGCTCTGCTTAACAACTGTGTTATCTCACTGGAATTGCACAGGGTAGAGACAACTTGCATGGAAATGACTGAACAGCAGTAGCTGACATGTGCAAATCAAAACACACAACTTCTCAGTGTAGCAACCATACACAAACAGCCTGGCACAGCTTCAGATTGGCCCTTTACATTGTAAGAGCCAGGAAACACCTCTGGAAGAGCGAGTCAGGTTCTTGTGGCTTACAGTCACAGTCCATCCTTGTGCCTTAGGAAGTGTCTTGAAGTCACTTGGCTCTGGCAACAGCTTGTTTTGGTGGGGGCTTTGTCATGGATGCAGCTCTGTATCTGCAAAACACCAGTAACAGCTATGAGTTAGACTGAAGAAGGGATGAATTTTCCCCTACAAAAGAATTCAGAACAAACCACACAGCTCAATCCATTTCACTGGCACAGATACTTCTTTCCAAGTATCTCATTATATTCCTAACCTTTATTAGGTGAGGAACAGCACCCCTAAAGTGCATTACTAGAGCTAGGAAACACTAAGTGCCTCCTTTGGGGGTGTTTGTGGATGGGCAGCTCTGCTGCTCCTCTGCTGCGCAAGTGAGAACTTCCCCTTGCATGTGATAAAGGCCCACACACAATGGTGTTGAAACAAAATAAAAAAGGTTTTGTAGATAAAGACAGTCATTCACCTAACATTTCTATGCAGTGCCTCTTGGAAAATGCACCACTACTATCTACATCAAACCATGCATTTAATTTCTTTTTAATGATAGACATACTCTCAATGTGTGCCTTTAACCCTGAAAGACACCAGAATATATTCCAAACTACCCTTCAGGAATTTCTATACAAAATAAATTGCTCTATTGCTCTACTGCTCATTAAAGCAGGATTGATTCTGATGTAAAACACAACAGTTGTTGGTACAGGTGGATTAAGAAGCAAATGCTTGTCTGGATATGCAAAAAATGGACATGCACTGAAGTCTGGCTGGACAATTTCAGCTAACTCAGCTACTGACAGAAGTTCTGAAATCTTGGGCTCGAGGCAGATGGCAACTGGCATCAGCAAGAGCATCCTAACCAGCAAAGAACATCAGTACTGGCTCACTGAGAGGAATGATGCTCATCTGAGTTATCAGTGATACTTTTTGTAGATTCTAGATTATTTTCTGCTGAAGACTCTGAGGATGGTTACACATTCCTGATGAACTTAAATGAAAAGCTGAGACATACCTGTAAAGTTAGATTTGTACACCCCCCCAGCACTGCCATCTGGCTGACAGCAGCGTGCCCTGGCAGCTGAGGGGGCAAACCTCATCCTGGGGTGTGTCAGACACCAATAACCAACCAGCTGCTCACAAGAGAGGGTTATCCTGCTGTACTGAGCCTTGCTGCAGTCTCAGTGTGAATGCAGAGTGTGGTTCTGGGATGCACAATTTAAGAAGGATGTTAAGGTACTCGAAAACGTCCAGAAGAGACCGACAAAGCTGCAGAAAGGGCTGGAAGGACAGGTGGAAGGAGTGTCCCATGAGCAGTGCCTTGGGCTTGTCTAGTTCAGGGACAAGGAGGCTGAGGGGTGACCTCACTGCTCTGTCCAGCTTCCTGAGGAGGGGATTGTGCAGAGAATGGTGGCCCTGGCACAGGTTGCCCAGAGAAGCTGTGGATGGCCCATTCCTGGAAATGTTCAAGGCTCTGAGCAACCTGGTCTACTGGAAGGTGTCCCTGCCCATGAGACCAGGATTGGAACTAGATAATCCTGAAGGTCCCTTTCAGCCCAAACCATACTGTGATTCTCTGATCTCTTCTCCCTGGTATCCAGTGAAAGGATGCATGGGAATGGATCACTATGGGAAAGCTGCACCAGGGGAGGTTTACACTGGATATTAGGAAGCATTTCTTTACTGTTTACTCAGCTTCTTTAATTATACTTGAGGACTTGGTTTCTCCTTTTTAACTACAGTATCTTGATTTTTATTCTGTTTCACTTTTTATTTAGGAACATTTCTCAAGGGCACAGATAATTCTGAAAGGTAGTTTTAGCCCCAGAGTCTTGCAACTCTTCTCAGGGTGGTGTCATTCAAAAATTTTATTCATGTGCTCTTTAGTTCTTCAGCCAAGCTCTTACTACTTGTCTGGGATAATGTGCCAGACACTTCCCAAGACATCCTTCTTCCCTCCAAAAATTGAGAATTGAGAATGAGTCACTGAAAATTTCCCTTTGACTGCATTTTCATAACGATCTGTAATCACAGCCACTTGTTCCCACTTACCTGATAGGGGAAATTACCTTGACAAAGTGAGAAATTAGATTGATTTGTCGTGATCTGTCTTCACTAAATCTGTGTCAGCTTTTTCTTGTGCATAGCTCAACTATTTAATAATTTAATGTATTATCACTCTAAGTTAGAAGCAATGCCTTCACCTGCCTAGCTGCTCTCCTTTCCCTAAGAGCTAAGAGCTGTGTTTGCCCTTTTGCTGGAAAAGAGCAAGCAAACAAGCCTGAATTGTATGCTGAACTACACCAGGCACAAGGGGTCCTGTTCCTAATTAAAACTCAGTGAATTTGGCAGAAGAAATAGGCCTGCTAAAGGAAATCTAATTGGCACCTTTAGCTTTCTCCCAGCAGGAGAAATCTGTAAGCTCTGATGGACTCTCTGGCTTAATGCTGCACTGTGAAGTGGCTCTCCATGACAGGTGTGGGTATGAAATCTGCAGCAAGCACATGTGAAAAGCAGGAGGCAAAAAACAACAAGAGACCTGGAATTTCTATCAACACTTAGCCATATTATGTGTTGAAGTTCAGAAAAGATCCTTGCCTCCTTTTCCATTCTGAATCAGGAAGCAAAAAAGCTCACAGGCTAAGGACATAGTTTTCCTGGATTTAGCTCCAAATGAGATCTCAAATATTTTCAGTCTTCACTACAATGCAGCCTCATTTTGTCAACAAAAAAAAAGTTGGGTGTTTCACCCACAAAAAAGCTTCCAGATTTTTTGCTCTTTATATAATGCATGCATTCCAACCCTACCCAAGTCCTTTGCAGCTCTCTCTCAAGTCTCTCCCAATCTCTATAGGGTGCTAGCAGGCACCCTATAAACATCAACCCCTCTACCATGACAGAAAAGCAGGCAAAGAGAAGCATGAGGAAACAAGAGGCTCCTGGCCTTCAAAAAGCAATGCCACATTCACAGAGCTCAGCTCATCTCAGTACTTGGTGCCTGCCTGGGATATTTTTGGATTTTCTCACTACAGACGGCTTTCTGACTGCAGGATCCATTTTAGTATTTCCTTGGCATTTTTCTCCCACAAGCCATTTCATTTGCAACAGCAGAAAAAGAAATGTGTGGAGGTGGTTAGGAGTTTTGAAATTAGTTTTGTTACACTTCAGTCTTTTTTTAAGGACAAGGAGCCAAAATCAACTTGTTATGCCGATAAAGAGCTCTGAGAAAGGTGCATTTGCACTTGGGATGCACAGTGTGGCTTTTTTTAAGGGTACAAGTGAAACAGGGAAGACTTGACTCATTTACTTTCCTGCTCATCTGAAAACAACTGCTGAGCAAACAGGACCACTTATTTTTCTTGTGCTAGACATTGGTGATCTGCAGCTATTCTCACATTCTGTGGCTGTTAAGCCATGAGCTTTCACCCCCTGCAGAAAGCAAAATGCATGTTTTATGCCATCTGAAGTCCTCTGCATTATTCATGAAGTCCTCTTAAGTCTGAAGTACAATTCATCTGTACTGGGGTACATTTTAAACACTATTCTGCATGGTCTTTGCCATAGGCAGTTTGACCTTTACACATTATTTCAGCATAAAAATCAACTTTCTTGCAAGATAACCCTCTCCAGTTCTGTAGCAAAATTTACCTGGCACTGATTCCTGCATCCCCAGGAAGAAATGGAAGACTAAACTGCTCAACAGAACTTCACTGCTTTCACCCTTCATCACACAGGAGCCTTTCTGGCAATTCATCACTAAAGAAATTCTTTTGACTAAGTTACAGTGTCTGCCTCCTCAGTAAGTCTGGTGCACCCAGGCCAACTCAGGGAAAGGACAATAAAGCATAAGGGAATATAATCTTGTCTGGCACATAACCATGATGGAGTATTCAGTGCCAGTAAATCTGGAAGAGATTTGTCTGGGGAAGGACTCTGTCCAAGTCTCTGCAGACACATCCCTGTGCAAGGACAGCATCAGGGCAGTGTATAAATAAATCAGCCAGAGACAGTTTGCTAGTGCTTTTCAAAAAGTTAAAAACCCACATAAAGAATAATTTTATAAAATCCATGTAAAACAGAGTAGAGAGTATACAAATACAACAGAATAAGATAAATGTTCTCAAGATACCTCTTTTCTTCAAAACATTGGTAGAATCCATTCAGTGCCTCTGTCTTTAACATATTGAACTCCCTCTGGCCTCACTGTCTGTAAAACAAAGGCATTTTTAGAAGAATTAAGAGCATTATTCTTCCCTCAGTTGCAAGTAGTAATACATAAATATGCCCACTGCACTAGAAAATCCACACTTCCTGCAATCTTCTACAATTTTTAGATGAGACAGATAAAATCCATTCCACTTTGCATTCCTGGGCCTCAGGGAGGCTGCAATTATTAACTTGTGTTAAAAAGGAATAAACATCAAAGTGAAGAGCAGTTTAAGGAAGCAGCACTGTGGTATGAGTTGGGCATGTAGCAGGAAATCAGAAAGTCTCCTGAAAGAAATTGCATTAAAAATTTCCCATATTCAAGAAAACAGATCAGAAATCTCAAACTTTCATCCCTCTCCAAACATAATCAGTCACTGCTGCTTTCAGTCACCTTCATCCAGTGACCCCAAAGCTCTGAGTGTGTGTAGGGAGGCTCACAATATTTCTTTGCAAGTGTTACCCAAGTTTTATAGAAACATTAACATGATGACAGGAGCAGATAAAACTATTTTTAGTTAAGCATTTTACCAATTTCCCACCAAATCTTTAGTTGTGGCATCTCCCATCTTCTGAGTGTTTGAAGCTTAGTAGCATTTGAATATTGTTTTTCAGAGCACAACTTCATAGGTTAATATAAGTAATTGTTAAAATTCCACCAGCTAACTGATAAGACACTTGTTTGGAGCAGAAGGGCAGGAATCTTTTGATTCAGTGCAGATAACTCAAGTTTGCCCATCTGAGCAGAGTAACCAAAGCAAAGGCAGCCTGCAGTGGATCACTGCAGGAAGGGAGGAGAGAGATACTCTGCCAGTTTTCACTGATCCCTGCTGGCAGCTGAGAAAACAAAGCTCTAGAAGAAAAGACTTTCCTAAATGCACTCAACTTTATTTTCTTTCTTACCTGATATTTCTTCTTTCATTCCCTTCCCACTTTCCTCATTCTGTTTCCAGCCCTTGTTTTCTGCTACTATCCTTCCCATGATAGTGCCCACATCCATGAATAACAAATCAAATTTGGAGTCTCTCCTCCCATTTCTTTGCCCTAAATCTCGAACCTGTACATGATTCCCCCTCTGCCAGGCTCCCTGTCCATCTCTCTCCTGCTCCCCAGCCCAGCCCAGCCACTGCTGCCCTTGCTGGCCCCCAGGACCTTCTCCATCCCCTGCAGCATCACTGCCTCCCTGCCCTGCTGCTCCCATCAGTCCCATCCCTCTTCCAAAAGCTCCCAGGAGCATTCAGCTCCTTGAAGTTTCCTCCTTTATCTGCCAGGTCCAAAGGCTCTCTCTGCTTTATCCTGTCATCTGATTCTCCTTGTGGAGCTCATCAATCTTCCTCCCAGGCCTCCCTGGATTTCCCATTACCCTTTAGTTCAACACTGTCTTTGACCTCATTTTCCATTTTCCCAAGTGTGGGCCAACACAAAGAGATAGAAAAGATAAACTTAACTGGGCAGGGAACTTTTCTCCAGCCAGTGTGTGGGGAAGGGATTGAAAAACAGATTCCCTATATCCAAAAAGGGAGGAAAAGCTGAGAATGCTAATATTTTAATTTAATAAGAACATGAAGCCAAGCCGATTGGGAAAGGGGAATCATTTGTTATTGAGTTGTTTTGAAAGCTGCATTTTATTTTATTTTATTTGAATTGAAAAAAACTGCAATTTGGTTTCAAAAATGCAAAAATGGGATTAGATAGTTTAGCATTTTAAAAAATCTGCACAATAGTATTTAAGCTAAGATGTTAGTTGAAAACAACTAAGTTATTTCAGCTGGGAAAAAAAACAAACCCAAAAAGAAGAAAAAAAAATCCTTATCAGTTACAGAGGAAGACACTTTATTTTTGAAGCCTACAGCAGCTATGGGTATATTTGTAGTAAAAAACATCCTTCCTAATGAGCTGCAAAAATCTTGCTGCTACAAGAAAGTCTGGGAAATTTAAAAGCTAAGGAGTCCAATAAAGACATTTCAAAATTCAATCTGTTCTCTTGATGCACCCTTCCATTAAATTTGAATTCCCAGCTTTAAAATGGAAATTTTCTTCATTTCCTAAAAAGAAGGAGGGGGGGGGGGAAGTGAGTTTTTTTCAACAGTTGAGCCCATTTGGCTGATTTTTCCCCATACAAAAATCTGAGGTAGATGTTAAAGATGAAAGTAGCCTAACTGGGGAAATTTAAAGCCAGTTACAAGAACACCATACAGTTGAAATTACTCCTAAACCTAGAAGGCAAAATTATGGGTGTACACTCCAAAAGCCAAGCAGTGCATCTGAATTCTGACAGCAGCTATCTGCTTGCACAACCAATAGTCAGATAATTGTACTGAGCTAAGAAAAACAATGTGTGAGAGTTTGGTGCTTTTTCATCAAAATACCAGAATATTTAATATTTGTGAATAACTCCCCATGAGGAATCTTTGATTAAGGAGAGAAATAGGGACAGAAGAGTCATCTGGCTATTTTTCAAGCTGTGTTTTTCCTTGTTATTATGAAATGAAACCATGAACTTTTGCATATTGTGATGTCACTGCTTTGCAAGAGCAAGGAATTAATAACTTCTATTAAAGCACATCTTCCCTAGCACTTATGATTAATTTACAAGGCCACAGTTCTTTCACACTCCAACCCAAAGGTCTCTGTCTGACTCTGAACACATTTACAGAGGCTTTCCTGTGCTAAATTTTAAGGGAGAAGTATTAGTTATCATCATAAAATGTAATTTGCTATTCATGCTTTGCAGTGGCATGGAACACTTTATCTCAAAGGTCTTTCCAGACCTGGCAGAAATACCAGGGCAACTCAGAAAATGTGATTAAAAACTGTTTGGGTCATCAGGGTGGAGAGACTCTCTCCACCTTTTATATCTCTGATGGCAAAGCCCATTCTCAAGGGCCAGCAGAGATGATCACTCCTCTCCCATCAGCTGCCTGGCCAAGTGTGTGTGCACCTTTCTCAGAGCCAAGGTGTGCTGGATTTCCCCTTTTCTGGCTGTTTACCACTCCCATCCTGACAATTGTGCAATATTTACTCAGTCCTCCTTATCTTGCACTCTGGGGATGTTCCAGCATTATTCATTCAGCCTTAACAAAACACTTAAAATCCTGTGACTTCTAGCTTCCCACATTTTGAAGGGGAAAAACCTTTTGCAAAAAAACAAGTTTTTTTGTTAAAAGAAGAACAAAGCACATGACCAAATTCTCTTTCACCTTGAATAAATATATCATGTTTGCATATTCAGGGCTTGGATTTCTTCCAGCCTTCTTTTACCACTATTATACATCCCCAGCCTTCATATGGGAGAAACAAAAACATCTACAATGAGTTCAATGAAAAATATTTTCTCTTGGAAAAAGCTTAACAAGCAACTGAAATGCAGGATCTTCATTTATATGTGTTTGCCTGCACATACTGTCTTGCATATTATGGATCAACTCGGCACTCTACAAATAGAAATGTCAAACTCCAGTGACATTTAAGTTCTTCCTTGTCTATTCCAGTGGCTGAGCTCATTCTTCCTCAAATTCAATGCTCAGATTAAAATGTAAATTTTTGCTAGGGCTAAAACATCCTTAGCTAGCTCAAGAACCCAATCTCTAACACTCAGTGCTGATGCAATGGAAGATCTGTGCTGATGCAATGGAAGACCATTTGTTTAAGGACAAACAGAGGCAAATTCCAGTTGATATGCCTTTTGTAGAATCAGAAACTTTAATAAAGGGCTTCATATTCAGTTTATTGTTAGATTTATCATTGATCTGGATATTATTTCTGTAAAAATCCACTTCTGTATTTTGGAGATCTTGGATGAGCCCAAGAACAATGACCAACTTTTGCTATTATGTGAGATAGGGAAAGGCATAAAATAACCAATTGTTTGTTTAATGAGATATGAAACTCCAACTGAGCTGATGTATTATGGGTGAAATTGAATATAATAAAAAATACTGCTTTCAAAAATGAGTGCTCTCTGGGTGCTCCAGGGATCCAGATGTTGCACAACAACTAAAGTGTGACACAGCCTTCATCTAAAGGCAAAATTATGCCAGTTCAGAAAAAGCTGTGTTGAACTGAGTTCATACTTAAAACTCACAGCCCTCAGGCCGGCAGCTTTCTGAAGCACCTAAAAACTGTTTTAATTTTTTAATTTGTTTTTATTGCTTATGTACAGTTATCCTGCACTCTCAGAAGAACTGAAAGATGAGGAGAGAGGCTGTTTTTATTTTCTCCAGGGCTGCAAGCAGCTAACCAGCCATCTTGTCAGACACTCAGCCCTTGCATGACTTCCATGCAAAAGAAACCCAAGTATGATGAAGGCAAGCACTCAGGCTTGTCAGTGAAATCCTAAAACATTTCCAAAGATCTCTCAACCTTGGCAAAGTAACTGGCTTTCAATTTCCAGCAACCCACCTCACCAACAGCCAAAGCTATGAGAATTTGGATGTGAAATAATTTTCATTTGAAGCAGCCAAAGAAGCAGAATAATAAAAGCAAAAAACACAAGATGAGAGCAGTCAAAACCATGTTTAATACAAAGGAATTTCTCCAAGCAAAGCTCCAAACCACACAGAAGATGGCTGGGAAAAAGCAAAGATCCCTCAGTTTCCCAGCCCTGAAAGGTTTGGAATTGTGGCTTGGAATGCCTACATGAATGCTGGGTCATCAGTGGGATGCTGTTCACCTCATCCTGGAAAGGGAGGAACAGCCTTTGCCTCCCAAGCAGGATGTGGGATTGCAGCAGGGTTCCAGTCCCTACAGAAAGATGGAATTGCTTGGCAGCAGGGGTGCAGTAGCACCTGCCTCCTTCCCAGCTCCTCACCTGCCAAATATGTCTGGCACAAAAATAAAAGGCATGAGGAATACAGAACGGCTGTCCTGGCAGTGGATGAAGAGCTGCTGCCATAGCAGGAAAACCTGAGGGAAGAAATTGAACAGCAACCTGTTCAAAACATAATGCCTGTTTATAATTAAGACACAATCATCTTGTAGAGGAGCACGAGAGCATTTTGTTCATCCCACCCAAGAGTTTATTTAGGCTGTTCTAGCTAGCAGGTCTTAATTCCACTCTCTCTCCAGGATAAGTGTGAAGTTTTCAATTTGTAGATTAGTAGCAGTTTGCTGAATGTGTGACTTCAGCAGCTTGCTCACCTCACACAGCTACAAAGGAAGGCTTTGCAGTTCTGACAGCTCTATGAACCACTTTTAAACCAAAGCCTGCATTCTCTGGAGAAGAAAATTACACATAGGAAGCTTGATATGAAGTGGACTGTGTTAACTAGATACTCAGGACGGGGTTTACTGCTCTATAATGAGCTGTAATTACAGTAACTCATTGGTCATTTACTGCCATGCAGTTGTAGAAGCATTTTAAAATAACAAGTAAAGAGAAAACTTGAGCTGAGGGGACTTTTTTCCGAGAATTTGTTGAATTTCCAATGCCTACATAAGTACAACATTCCTTTTATTTCCTACAACTTTACTGGTTGAACTGCTGAAGCAGTTCATTTAAATATTTAGGACATCCAAGACAAAGGGTGAAATTTAGCACACCCCATCTTGCCAAGGGAGATTTCACAAATGTAGTGAACTGGAGCAGCAGCAGCAGCAATTTTCCCATGTGAATGAGTTAGTGCAGACTATATGCAATGTTTCTGCAGGCATCTGCCAACACAGTCTGGGCACAAAGGCATGGACTACTGCTAATGAAACAAAGAGTTTTAGACTTCAAAGTCTGGATCCTATGTAAGGAAGAAAGGAAAAAAAAAAAAGAATGACCTCTCTCTGTCACAAGAAAATACACTTAAACTCTCTCCTGAGATTCTTATTCCTAGAATGAATCACTACTATGTTTATGTACTCTTGACAGGAAATCCAGAACAACTAAATCAATAAGTCTCTTCCTGATAAAGGGGCTAATTTACCCTCACCCAGTATTGCAAACTTCTACATTTTTCCTACTACTAAATAAATATACTAAGCTCCTGCTAAATGTTTTGAATTTGGTGCAGATTTCACAGAGCAGGCATACAGCAGGACAGCTTGATTACATCTTGACATTCCCATCAGAAAGAAAACACACACTGTTGGATTCCTCCACATCCATTTAAAGACAGAGTAAGGCTTTTCCTCTGCAGGTGATAATGCACAACAATAACAATGGTCTTACCTGCTGTCTGTAAGCTCAAACCAGTATCGAGTTTGCTGCGTGGCTTGGTGCTGATAAACAGGTAACAGAGAACACACACAGTGATGATAAAAGCAAACAGGACCACTGCTGCTATTGACAGGCCCACGAGTGCTCCAACACTAAGAGAGAAAAACAAAAATAATTAAGTGTACAAACAGCCTGGAGGACCCATTAAAACATTGGTCAAGATGATGTCTGGAGTTTGCTTGTACTCGGGCATGGGAGTAACTCTGTATTTTACTGTAAATCAAAGTTTAGAGCTTAATGCTTCAATTGCATAAACTGCAGTTATTTCACTGCCCTCAGAAGGGTCAATGTCATTACACAGCAGTTGAACATCTGGCCCTCAGTGACATTTCATGCATATCACTCCTGAGTCTGACTTAAAGTGTGTTTATGAAAATCAGAAATAACTTCATGCAGTAACTGGTATCAGTGAGATCAAAAAGTTCTTCAGTGCACACACACAGAGAAGGATTCTAGGGTTCCAGGCAGCTCAAACAACATGACTATTAAAGCCGTATTTTCAGTCTGAAATGCCATTTGTGTAGTATAAAAAACCATGCAATATATGTTATTCAGGTCTGTTAGCAGCTCTGCAGAGCAGGGTGGAGTACTGGGATTGCTGTTCTGCTTTTGCATTAATGAAATAAATCTCCAATCAAGAATGGAGAAATTCTCCCATGATCTTTGTCACAGTAAAAGGAAAACTAAAGCTGAATTTACTCACAATATCAAAGGCATCAAAGAAGCAGGAATTAATTACTCTGGAGGCCAAACATACAGTACTATACATAGATTTTATCAAGGTGCTATCCTGCAGAACAAAAGCTACTTTATACATCTCTCACAGGCACACAATGAGACAGTATATGTATATACTGAAATCTCTCCTGATTTCCAACCCTTATTTTCAAGTCTTTTCCTAGCATAAAATTCTCATGATGAAATAAAGGACCCATATAATACAGTCTAGCTACCACTTCCTACACTCTCCTGGGCCATTTGATGCCTTCCATGTTCCAGTCCTCTATTCTACAATCCACGACAAAGATCCTGACTTCTGGTGAAATTAAACAGCAGCTTTTTGGTCACAGATGAGGAGTCTGAGGACTGAGAATCCTTATATTACTGCTCTGGTATATTTACAATTTTGACAGACGTCAAAAGGACAGAAGAGAGATGAATGTCTTGAATTCTACAAGCTCCATCCTCTAGTCGTAAAAATGCCTTTATATATCACTGCCATCAGGGAGAAGTGAACTCTACTGTGGCCTTGCAGGAAGATGAGAAGAATTGTGCCTTGGGATGTTTTTATGAATTTTACATTCAAGATACTGCAAAGCTTCTCTACAAGCTCCCACAGCACCAGCACACAAATATGTCCACAGGAGAAATTCTTAAAATCAGCAGGATGAGAACAGCAGATATTGCTATGACTTTCACATGAGGCCTTTATTAGTTACTGCTCAGACTCAGTAATGAAGTTTGGGCAACATTTAGCTCCATGCACAGCAAAAATAATTTATTATCAGCAAAATGGTTCTGCAAAGAACAGCTTTACTCTTCTGAAGATTTTTCATGGTATTTATCATCTGCATTAAATAGGATATCCTGATGTGTTTGTGCATATATGTACATATTAAGCAAATTTTTTCTTACTGTTTTTTGGCTCAAACAAAATTTGCAGGCAAGCAATATTCTGCTTACTATGGAATCTGAATATGACCTACACTCAGAGATCTCACCTGGGTTCTGGCCTTATTTTGCACTTTCACTTGGAACACCTTGACCGAAATAGACAAAATAGAAGAAATACATATTACAGAAGGCTGAATAGCCATAGAATCACGTGATACAAGCAAGGCTCTTCAGAAATAGTTATTTGTGCTTTTTTGTCATGACAGTACAAGCTTTATTGTAAGATTCCATTTAAATTCCAGCCCATAGTGAAGGACTAAGGAGGTTGCTCACCATTATCCAAACCTTAAGCAGAGTCAGCTGCCCTAAAGCCAAATAGATCAAAGACATATTAATGATTATACATTTTTCTATTCAGACATCTGTTCCTTCTTGGCTGTAGCTCTCCTCCATGCAGCTGTAGAAGATGACATGGACAATACAGTTGTGTATTGCAGAGTACAAGGAATTTTCAGTATCACTACACAGCTTGTGTAAGATGCTTTGGGAGTTACAAAAGGAAAAAGCAAGGAAAACCTGAGGAACTCTCCAGGTCAAAGACTCATCATAGGTTATGTGCTACAAGAAATGTTTACCATGCCCCAGCAGCAAGATGAGAAGATCTCACCAGCATCACAAAACCAAACAGATACTCTGATTCCACTTCCTGAATGAATCAGGAATCAGGACAATGTGTACTTACTCTTTTTAAACACACAATGTTTTGCTACCAGATTGTTCTCAAACTGCTGAAGCTCTCTACCCACAGAGAAGGTATAATTAAGTTCTGTAAGATTAATTTTGGTTAAAGTTTGGGATGGAGGGTTGTTTCTTAATTAATCTAATTCAGAGAAATTTAATATCTCTTCCACAGCTCTGAATACTGACATTTCTTAACCAGAACACAATATTTTCTTTCATTCTTTACATATTAAAGCTGTTATTAGAAACAAAACACCAAATAACTGTGATCACTGACCACTTTAACAATTACACTCCTGAAAATAAAGACAATCTTACAGCATGTCCTCTAGATTCTATAGCAATTACTATGGTGTTGCATATCTGCTTTAAAAAGTCCTTGCTAAAAGCATTTTGCCACCTTCCATTCTTTACCTTAAGCAGGGTCTGAAGGCCACCCAGCAGTCACATGGTAGCAGTCTATGGTCTCAGGGTGTTTCTTTGAGATCAGTGTGACAGCAGAGACACCAAACAAGCAAACTAAAAAGTCCCTCTTGTCATCAGCTGTGGCCTCATTAGTGAGCAAAACCTCCTGCATTAACAACCTACCGAACCCCACAGCAAATATCTTGCATAAAGATGGCAGTAAAGGCCTGACATGAGTAATATTGCATTTGGTAGGAGATCCAAACAGAACTCTCCCAAGTTATTTTCCACATAAAGATAGAGCCATACCACACATTTCACTGCTGTTACACTGAGTGCCACATCCAGGCTTGCAGTACAGCCAAGAGAGGCTCCACTCTGCCAGCACCTCCTCAGGGATCCCCAGGCTGTGTCCAGAGAGCTGCTGAGTGGGTCCATCCACTTGTCTGCCAGTGGATAATCAGCATCACACCCCTAGAGTTATTTTTAGTTCATAACATTAGCCCATCCACACCCTCAAAAGCCATGGAAAATTTAAATATTGGCTGAGCAGAGGCAGAATTGCCCACTGATAGACTGAGAGGAAGCTCATGAGTCACCCAGATCCGAGTAAATCAAATGTTCCCAATGCCATTGTTGCAGTGACGTGCCGTTTATGGTATTTGCAAAGCACACAGATAAATATTCTCCAGAGACTGGAAGAATGGCACAGAGAAACAAAAGACTTGCTATTTTGGAAAGCCAAAACAGATGCCTGGAGATTGGTACAGCTTGGCTTCAGTATTAGGCCACCATGTAGGTATTAATTAAGAAGGCATTTGGAGTAAAACCTATATGTGGCTTGACAGAATTTTAATCAAATATGTATTATTACATGCAACTTAAAAGATAGAGCTTTGGAATGGATATTACAATTCTATTTGATACTGAAAGAGGCCATTATAAAAATAAGACTTCATAGAAGAGGGACAAAAATAAGCAGAAAATATTTTAGAACAAAGAGAAACAAAAAGGCTGACTGAACATAACTGCTGCAGTTCAGTACAAATACCACATGTTCAGCATTTCTCCCCTTCCACTCAGCTTGGGAGGTGAAGCAGATGTGACAACTGCATGGGCATGCACAGCACACTGCTCTGGAGGCTGAGCTGCTCAGTGTTTGGCTCACTGGTGTTTTATAGCATCTGTGTTTTGTGGATTCAAAAGCTGAATAACCTTCTGATGAATTCTGCCTTTTCCTAATGTTGCCTTCCCTGTTCCATGGGCTCCTGACAACTGTAAGAGACAGCAAAATGCATCTTTCCCTCTTCTTTGAGGAAATAAGTCTTTCAAGATCTATGATTAAAAAAACTCCAAACTTTATTATTTTATTTAGCAAAAAAAAAAGTCAGAAATTAATAACATTATTAATTATATATAATAAATTTTGCAGAAAATGTGAAATGTGTCAGAGTTGCTCAATAGTCTGTTATCTATGATAGTCCAGCAGCTCCCAGTACAGCAGGTGTTTGGCTGTTGTCAAATATTGCAGTTTTTGCAGAAGTGGGAGGGGGAAAGAGGGTTCCATTTTGCTAAGGGAATGGGCAGTGTCTAGTTCTAAACAGAGTACAGGCAGTAGAGAATTGGCAAGAAAAGAGAAGAGCATAGGCCAGCAAGAAACTATTGATTTGGGTTGCCAAGGCTGCTGGCTTCTCCATGAACTGCTTCAGTCTGAGCTGGATGCCAACAGGTCTGGCCATGTCCCTCCCACAGCAGGAAAAACACAAGGGAAACGTGCAAGAGTTTCCTGTAATTCCACCTGGTGTGCCACCAAACTGAAGGAACCTCTGAGATCCCATCAACCACTTGTGCTGCACTCAGGCACTGCTTTCAAATACCTGGGGGAGTCAAGCAAATGGAGATTTAGGGAAAAAAACCCCAAGTTCTGGAGTACAGCAAAAGCTAAAACAGTTCCCCCATCAGAGCCTCCTACTCCTTCCCCTTCCATCTCCAGACTTTCCTTGGCTGGTTTGCTTAACTCTTGTTTAGTTTTAAATCTTAAGGGTTTCATGTCTTAAAAGTGTGTCCTCAAAGGGTGAAAGAAGCATTTTAAGGATTATTTTATCATCTGGCTGTTACCAGCCATTATCAGTAAGAGTCTAGTGATCATCAAAACATTCTGAGAGGGCAAAAAATGTTATTTTTATGCTTTCTTTAAACTACTAATTGAACTGTCATGAGAAAAAGTATACATTTTTCAAAATGATGTAATGCTATAATGTTTCCAGTGTGTTAATAACTAAAATTATTCTATTTGGTACTGAAAAGATTTATAGGAAGTGATTTTTGAGACATGTTTGAGATTGATTTGAGACATGATTGAGAATTGAGACAATTCTAACCACTCAGTAACTTTGCTTACAGAGGTAAATTGTATTTATTGACCTATTTTCTACAATGAATATAGTCATTTATGGCAGAAATTAACAACCAAAACTCCACTAATGGCAATTTCCATGACACCTCTCAGAAGCTTAGGGATACTGCAGAAAGAAAGAAAAAAAATCCTTAATTTTCAAAGTTTGGGCCCAAATTTCTGACTTAGATGAAGGCTAAGCAGTCATTTCTCAGATCCTTCAAAATCTTTTTAAAGGAAGAGCTTTCAGACAGGTATTTAATAAAAGTCTCTCCTGGGATTCAGTTCTTGGAGGTAGTTTTTGAAAAGATAAGCTTTAAGTCTTCACTACAACATCCAGATGAGATATTGTGATGCAATATTAACTTATTCCTTCAGTTTTTCTGCCATCTTGAGAAGGTTTACTGTGATTGAAGCACTCAAAGGCTATGTAAAAATATAGCATTAAAACAGAGTATTTGACAGCAGAAGTGTAAAAAAGGACACTTGGAGGTGTCTTCTCACATCAGAAAAGCCAAATAATTGTGTGTCTGTCACAGAGGTGGATGGCTGGGAGATCCCCACAAGGGACCCACTCTTTGCACCAGACAAAGTACATTTTAGGTAATAATACATTAAATATTAGATCAGGTAAATCAAAATAATAAGTCCTCAGTACTGGACAGCATCAACTCAGGAGCCCAGAGGGAATTCACATGTGGAGCTGCAGAGCTGCTGGCCAAGGTGCTGAGGGTGTCTGGCTGCACGGTGCTGAATCTGAGCCTGGCTATGATACCCAAGTTCAGTCTCCCCAAAAATGAGGGACAGGTCCTTTGATGGCAAAGCCTCTACTCCCAATCATCTCATTACCATGCTCCATCCCAGGGAGCTGATGGCACTTGCAGCTTCCTGACATAAAATCTTTAATGAAAGGATCAGCATTAGGATGAGGGGGAAAACACTGCCTTGTTAACCTGCTGGAGTCTATGAAGTGTCAATAGGCACATGGATAGAGGAACCCAGCAGAGATAGTTACATGTCTCAAAAAGCCTTTGGACAAAGCCCTGCACTGAAAGTGGGGTTAAAAAGATTGAATTTATATAGGATTAGGGAAAGGTTTTGCTACAAATTTAAGGCTGCTTAAAAGCATAAGAAGCAATGTGCAAGGCTTAAGTCGTCCCTTTTCAGTGTGAAGAAATGTCACTGAGACTGATTTTTGTTCATATCTTCATCTATGACCTGGTGAAGAAAGAAATTTGAGTTTCTGGTGATCCTAAGCCCCTACAAGCAATCAAATGCTGAGGGCAAGGAACACTACAAGAAAAATAAGTGAGCAGGCAGAAGTGGTATACATGAGTTTCAGTGTACATAATGTAACATATAAAGAACAAAACCAAGCCTACATAGCAATAAACTCAGATCAGGCAGTTCTGAAGTCCAGAAAAGTTTTAGAGTCTTCAGTGAGAGTTCACTGAAATAATGGAGTCAATGTGAATGGCATAAAAAGACATTAACACATTGGACACCACCAGAATGGAACTGAGAGCAAGACCAAGACTGGAGGCAACATTTGGCCACTCTGTAGAACCTTGCCACACCCACACCTTGGACATGAAGCTCCAGATTACGCACCTCCAACACCAGCCCTGTGGAGTGAAAAACAGTATGGATGAGATGGAACCAAAACGATCGGTGTGACACAGCATCTGCCTCAAGGATAATCCAAAAGCTGTCCAGTTTGGAAAGGTGAAAGCTGAGAACAGATGCCCCAAATGCTCACAACGCTTTAAACACTGTGCAGAAACTGAACCTGCAATTGCTGTTCACCAAATCTCACAATCTGAATACTAGACGACACTCTGGAAAAGTAGAAGGGAACAATATAAAACAAGATAAAAGGATCTATAGTCGAACAGCAGGTAGTGACTGCTACCACCAGGGTTGCAGAAGCAGACGGTATAAGCAAGCCCAGAGGGGATTTGACAAAATCAAGGATAATAACAAGTCCGTAAGAAACAGTGGAAGCCCCATGCAGAGGTGTACTAACATCGTGACACGGCCAGCCTGGATGCTGTGGAGCCCGAGGGGAATCAGGCACAGAAAGCAGCGCAGCCCTCCCTGCCGCTGCTGGAGATCCAGCCAGAGCCAGGCGGATCCCTGTACTATCCCGGGAGAGCAGAAGGCTCGTTATCCGCCCCTTCCAAGTGGAAAGTTGCGTAGTGCTTTATCTTACATGGAAAAGTAGCTCAAGTCACCGGGAACTTCATGGCACGCAGCATCTTACGGGCTCAGGCCCCGAGACAGCCGCTCCCCTCACGCCCGAAGGGCGGGAGACGCTCCGGATGCTCTGCCAGAGGCACCGAGCGTTTCCCAGCCTTCCTTCCCAAGACCACGAGTTATTTCCTTCAGAAACTACCCTGGCATGAGCAAGAGTCTCTCTGGGCTGAAGATGCAGCTCTACCGCTACTCTCGGCGGGACAAAGGCAGCCTGAAAGTGCCCGCTTACAAGTACCTCACAAACACACACCCGAGCCGAGCTCGGGCGACCGCGGCTCATCCGCCCGGCGCCTCTACCCCGGCAGGGACCGCCGCTCCCCTACCTGAGCCACCACATGTAGCTGTGCTCGTAGGGGAAGAAGCTGTGGGGGTCATCGCAGCAGTACTTGATGTCCTGGAAGCCGCAGCAGAACACGGCGCGGGCGTCGCCGCCCGCCCGCGGGCAGCTGAACCCGCTCACCAGCACCTTGTCGGCGTTGAGGTAACTGCTGCACTCGGCGCTCATGGCGCGGCCGCCCGCCCGCCCGCTGCCCGCCCGGCGCCTCGGCTCGGTGGCACCCGGGCGGGAGCGAGGAGAGGAGAGGGAAGGCGAGGTGGCTGTGGCGGGCGGAGCCGGGCGGGCAGGGGGCTGCGCTGGCGGCGGGGACCGCCGCGCCCACTGGCCCCGGGGCCGCCACAGGGCGGGGAGCGGCGGAGCCCTCAGGGCAGGCAGCGGAGGGCGGGACAGCGCCGTGAGGGGCCGGCCCGCCCCAGGCTGCGGTTCAGAGGTTGAGGTACGGCTGGCCCTCAGCGCTGGGTCCCATGTGCAGGAGAGCTTTTAGGGGTCCCTCCTTACTCATAGCCTGGGTGTGGTCTCAGGATAGGCAAAACAGGGAGAGCATGGGGAGGGATCACACTTCTGTAAGACTCAGGCCCCCTTGGATTGATGAGGGGGGAAAGCTCCAGCTCAAAACCAGGCTCAGCACTTAAAGATGCACTGCACAAAGTGAGAGGATGAATGACAGTGGTGTGGCTGGTGCAAAGACTCCAGAAAAGGGGACATCAGGAGAAATCGAGTGTTGAATATCAACAAAGAAAAAAGCTTGATGACAGATTTTGTGAGTTGTAACTTCATCACTTGAGTTGTTCTGATGAAATCAGATACAGTCAGATCAATTATTTTCATTATAAAATTGAGAATTGACTTATTTGAAATGCATGCAGGAAAATGATCTACCAAAGACCACAAGGCAGCCTTTTCACCTCAGTTGTACCAATAGTGTCAGTACGTGTTAGCATTTTATTGTGTGTCTTGTGTTATTTGAGATGAAGAGACCAATCTCCTGGTCATTTGAGTCACGAAGACATGGGAGGTGTTTTTCTGTGGTTGAGGAAAGTCTCTAATGAGGGAGGGATGGCTGAACCTCAGCTCAAAAGCCATCAGTTGGTTGCTCAGACCATGTGTATGAATCAGTCAGCTAAATAACATGTGGTGCGGTGGAAACCAAGAAGTGCAGGGGTAAATGCCATGGATTTGGAGCCTGATTCAAGACTCTGTGAAGTTGCCAATTATGTGTTCACAACAGAGACCAAAGTCTTACAACTTCCCACGATGGAGAAATGTCCAATACCAGTCTTACAGATATTAATCTCTTTAAATGTCTTTATGTACCTTGTTCAGTTGCTAATAACTCTTTTCTTCCAAAACATGAATTGCCATCTTTGTGTTTCTCTCTGATTCTCTTTATCTGTCTGGGATTGTTTTTTTCTTTGTCTTACAGTTTCTTGATCTGTTTTCACTGAGGTTCTGTTCATACCTGAATTCAACAACCAGGGCAGAGAGTCATGAACCCTGGAGTCATTCAGTTCATGTTTTCAAGTGAGCATTCCCAAATCAAGTGGTCAAGAGACTTTCAGGAATAGAGAACATTCTTGGTTGTTTTTACATTTCACACTGCTGTTTTACTTTTGGAGATTTTTCTCTCAATAGTCAGAACTCAGATAACTATTTTCCTCTCAGAATTATTACTGCAGTGATGTGGAACAAATAAAATTACCCATCCCAGTTTTATGCTCAGTCTTACACAAACTTGGACTCATACTTAATGAGTATAAGGTAGACCTGTGTCAGAGTTGGAGTAAAGGTGGATCCTTTGTCCAAACTTAAAGAAATTTAGTTTCAAAGAAATCTGAAATGTTCTGGGGTGACAACATCTTTTTTTGTTTGTTTGTTTCATCAATCAGTATACTCATTTATACCATGCAATCAGTTTGTATTTGCCATGATTACTGGGTGATAATAATTAGTGTGCTTTCTTGTTGCAATTATTTGGAAAGATTTATATGAAACATTTGAAATTATGTTTGAGTTATCCACCTCAGTGACTAAATTAACTACGTAATTGCTGGAGGATTGAAATAAAGAACCATTCTCTTTTGATGAGACACTCAGAAACAGGATTTGAAGTGGGAGTGGGAGGCTCTTCAATGACCAGGGAAACATGTGCATCATCTTTTATGTCAGAAGAAAAATCACATTTTTTTATCATTCCAGTTACAAAACACAGACCTCTTCCAGTAAGAGTTAGTTGTTCAGACCTCATAAAATATGTTTCCTTCTCTCTTCACTATTACCAAAATCAATTTAAGTTACTATACAAATGATGAGACAAGTTCTCTCTGCTGAGTGAAGGATGTGTTTCAACCTAAGAATGTGGTCATCCAACTTTCAGAGAAACATAGATCCAAGACCTTTGTGGGGCACTTGGAAGTAAGAGACAACATATCCAGGAATTCAGGACCAGCTTTCAGAATTATCCAAAAAAGGATGCTTCTATTCTCTGAGTGCTGAATTAACATACTTATGAACAGGAGTCCTTTGTGCAGTGAAGCTCCAGCTCTAATTCTGGTAAAATGTGCAAACTTTCTTGGGTGCTTGCAACCCATACTCCTCTGCAAATCTTAAACTGATTTACTGTTACTCACAATGGTTTCCAAGAGACTGCTATGGCTGTAATTAAAGCCTGTCTTCAAAATACTTGGGACCATGGAACTGCAGCTTTCTGTTTCTTATAACTGCTTTCAAGCCTTCCAGATGAATTCACTAACATAAATATATGTATGTTGTTTATGCAATAATTAAAACAGCAGCATTTTTGTAATCATTAGAAATAATTGTGATCTTCATCTAAACTAAAATTATTGTGAAAAGTGTGCAGCCTCTTATTTACTTATCCTGACTCCACAAGATATTGGTCAGCAGAACTGGGCTGGTTTAATTTTCCAGCAAATTACAGGAGATTTTCTGGCTGATTCTGGAGTTTGGAGCAAAGGAGGCTTGAGAGAGAAGCTAAAACTTCCTGATTTAGCTATTCCATTTAGAGACAACTCAAAGTGAATTGTGCTTCTGCACTGATGACTACTTAAAAGCTAAAAACAAGCATTCATATTAACTGAATATGAACTGAAATGTTGTGGGACACACTTCCACCAGCCAACCTTCCACAGAAAGTTAATTATGAGCTCTGATATAGGTGTCTAGATCAGCATCAATCCTCAAACCTACATGCAAGGTTTTCCTTGAGAGCATAACCTAATTATTAATTGGCAGAGAGCTGCATAAATTACTTTCAAAAGAAATCTGGTGGCAAATTATGCAATTAAACAAAATTGTCATGTCAGGATGGTGTAACAAGCTCTGATTAGGAGCAAAAAGTTAAATTGACATCAGAGTTAGTGTAGATAACATATTTTATCATGTTCCATGAGCAGCAGGCACTTCAGGAAGGCAGATGACAGCATAAGGCTCAAAACAGAAAGGGGCACAGAAGTTTTAAGTCGTGTGTACTTGCAGCACAGTGAGATGCTGTCACTCAGAGGACTAAAAAAGAACTGTGTGTATTATTGAGGCACTGAAATTATCAAGAGGATATGCTACATCTTGGGTTCTGCTCTCAATTCAACCACCTGTGAGCAAGTTGCTTTCCCAGTTGTAGCTCTGTAGGTTTGTGATAGTGATGGGGTTGTCTGACACTTGTATGCAAAAGTGTTTGCATTTTGAGATCCTCTCTGTGCAAGTGAACACATGTATAAAGTATCATTATATGAGTTTTTCATGTCACTCTAGAGATTGGTAGAGCCTATCAATATTTCTAGTCATTTTAACTGTACTTCACACACATTATCCTCTAATTGATTCCCCCAGTCAATATAGGCTATAGATTTTGACTTTCAGCTGTCTCTGCTTCACAGAACTAAATAATGAAGAAGGAGAAAGCAATTTGGAGCCTCAGGAAGTTGATGCTCAAAGGAGGTTTCAGTCAAAATTTTAGGGGGGAAAATCAGTGAAAGAGAGAAGTAGGAAGTGTTGATACTGGGAATTCTGCAGTGAGGATGGAGCTCTGAAAAGTGATTTGTGTTTGTGTAATGGCCTCAGTCTCTACAGTTTGTGTGCTGTTATTGGTAAATATTTCAGAATAATGACTCAGTGGAGCAAATCTTACCTTTTTACACTTACTCTCCTATCTAGAAGGAGAACAGTCAGATGCATAAAATAGTTTTCAAAAATGAACCTAACCAAACAGTCTTGACTGCAGTTTGTCTTTGTGGCTGAGTGGTTTTCATTTCTTTTTCCTTTCCAGAAAGGAAAATAGTTTTTACTTATCTGAGTAGAAAGCACAAAACTGGCATGTTCCTTACAAAAAAAAGGGTCAATCTGACACTGCCTCAAGCATTTAACTTTGCTGTCATTTATCCTGCTTGTAAAACATAATTATTTATAATTTTAGAGACACAAATATATGCTGCAATGCATTTTCTACTTGAATAAAAGGATGGAAATTTTAAAAAGTTCTAGAAAGTATGTAGCTTGTGTATGTAGGGGATGATTATGGGGATAGTTCTGAAACTTCTGAAACTATCAGTTTCAGAGTTGCTCAATTAGAAGACAGTTAGAAGTGATGGGCCTGTTATTTCAGACTGTTTAAGCAAGATCTCCATCAGAGGTAGCACTTGTAAAACATGTAAGTTTCTTCATCTTTTCACCATTTATTCTACACTAAGCAACAAAGCAGAAAATTATAGATTCACAGGCTTATATGGATTGTCACTTTCTATCATGCTTTGAATTTACTTCGTCTAAAATTGAAGATAAAAGAGAAATATCTAAGTAAACAGGTTTGAAGTGCTGACTTCTACATAGCAGTGAATAAATAATACAATAAAATATCTTCCCACCATTTTCATGGTAAACTCAAACTGAAGCTTTTCATTGTCTTCAGCTTGTTCAAACTCTTAGGCCAACAATTTAGATTTAGTCCCATTAAGCATATTTTTCAAATACCAAAAGTTGTTTTGTTATAAAATTATGTACATTCTTTTGCATATTTTTGTGTGTCTTGGCTCAGAATTCTTTCTGTCACTTAGCCATCACAGAGAACTTTTGTTCTAATTTATAACTCAAAGTTGCAATAATTCTTCCTCTTTAACCCTCCCACCCTCCCACACAAATGTCTTTATATTTCCTGTAGCGGGTAACATCATCTATTGTTAAAATTCTGCAGCAGGAGAGAAACTTCCTACAGGAGCCTATTTACAATTG